GTGTGTGTGTGTGTGGGTGTGTTTCGTTCCCTCCGCATCTCTCTCTCTCTCTCTCCTATACTGCACTAATGAAGCAGTTCGATACGCCGATGTTTGCTCAATGTGCTGCCTGCTGCCTGCCTGCCTGCCTGCCTGCCTATATCCGCATTGCAGATGTATATAGCCATCGACGAGCTCTGCCTTTTATCTCTCTCTCTCTCTCTCTCTCTCGCTCTCGGATATCATTCACGGCAGCGAAGAGTAGAGGATTTTTAGCTCGCGAGCAGCGCAGGCAGCGCAGCACGCCTCTATAATATATAATACACGTACACTCGTCATTTCGTTTATCTCGATTGAACGACTCGATTCAGTTTTTTTTTTTCTTTTTTTTTTGTACCTATATGTATACATACACACGGTCGGTACGCGCTAGTTTGACGGCTCATTTTTTTTTCCTATCCTTGCGTGCGCCTCAATAAAGAGCTCTATGCTGCTTGCTGCTTGTCAGACTGCTGCTGCTGCTGCCTCGTGATACGAACCGAGAGAGAGAGAGAGAGAAACGTATTTTCAAACGCCGCGCACAAGCTCTACCTGATTATAATACTCGATCGAGTTTATATATACTAATGGGAAATTTTTGCAGCGTATAATATCCTCCCCCGAGAGTAAGCCGAGCGATATCTGCCTCCCCCCCACGCGGCTCTCTCTACCTCTCTCTCTGTGAATTTAATGAATCAAAGCTCGCAAAAAACGTCCGAGTGCTGCTGCCGCTGCGCACAAGAAGCCGCCCGCCGTATAGCCGTTATAACGGGGCTTGCAAGCACAAGCAAGCAAGCAAGCAAGCCTGAATTAAAGAAATCACTTTTTCCCTGACTCGGCGGCGGCGGCGGGCGCGCACAATTTTCCTGCCTTGCAGGAGAATTTTTACAAAGCTACGAGCTACGGCTGCTGTGCGGAGGTGGACTGTGAACTTTTTCTTTGTAGAGCGGCGACGGCGGCGGTGGTGGTGCTAGTGGTGGTGGTGCCCGTTAAATGCGTGGGTGTGTGTGTGTGTATGTGCGCGAAAAAAGTTTAACGTAAAAGAGCTCTCCGTTGCTAGTTGCCGCTGCTGCTGATACGAAGCAGAGCTCGACGCTCTGGATTCTTTTTTCTTCTCTCTCTCTCACTCTCATTTTTTGTTGTTTTTTTTTTTTATATACATATACGCGGAGTATGCAAATTTACCCTACGTTAGAGAGCATAGGGGAATGCTAGAAGCTCTCTCTCTCTCTCTAGAGCTTCACAGCAGCAGCAGCAGTAGCCCATCTTGCGCGAGGTCTATTTATTTTGCGCGTACATGTATATAATTCCTTAATACATTTAGCCGCGTAGCCACCGTATATATATGAAAGAGCTTAAATTGTGTTGGGGCATCGCGCGCGCGCGCCTGAATTAGATTTTTACATAGAGTCTCTCTCTCTCTCTCTCTCGACCTTTGCCGTATATACCTAACGATGATCAGCAGCAGAAACAGCTATACAGCTAAAGCAAACTGCACACGGGTGCCTCTTCTCTCTCTCTCTCTTTCTCTCAAGCTTCTCGACTTTCGTTATGTATACATGGAGCTCCCGCCGTGCCTCTCGTCGCGAGTAGTAGCAGTAGCAGTAGCAGCAGTAGTAGTATAATGATTTTGGTCTCGATGGCAAATTGGCTATTGCACTTGTTCTATATAGAGAAGCTCGAGCAAACTTACATAGTATTTCTCTCTCGCGCGCGCGTGGCTATATATATATACGTATCGGTGTATATAGGCTTCGTCGTCGGAATTCTGGAGGGCTCTCGTGGGTGCCAGTGCTGCAGCAGCACGGGGCGGGTGACGTTGGGCTCTTCAGTCACTCGTAGCGCTCTGTGTTGATGCTGCCGCTGCCACCAACACCACCAACACGACGCTTTAACGATCACAAGCAACTTTTATTGCCGCTCGCTGTATACACCGCGTGCTGCTGCTGCTGCTGCTCCTCTCTGCCTTTGAAGTACTTCGAGTGAGCGAGCGAGAGAGAGAGAGAGAGAGAGACAAGTTTCTCTCCTCCCGTACCCTTTCCTTCTCCCTGAACCGGTGCAGAAGCGGGTTATAATCACTGTCTCTCTAGACCACGCATACATTTAAAAATGTTAAAGGCTTGATTGATCGCGAGCTCCGACACACTCGACAACGACGACGACGACGACGACGCCAAGTTGATTGCTCTTCTGTTTGCGCGCCGGGGCCGCTTGTCAGCGTGAATATAGCAGGGTGAAGGCCACCCCCGCGCGCGATCCATTCTTTTGCAGCCCCGTTCGGTACGCCGCTGCTGCTGCCGCTGCTGCGGCTTAGCTTAGCCACCGCGCTCGTGACTCAAGTTTTCCGACAACATTTTCATAGTATAAATGCTGAGCATTGCTGTTCTATCTCTCACCCTACCCTACGTGCGCTCTGCGCTGCAGCTACTTCACTTTTCTTCCCTCGTCGTCGTCGTGTTTACTCCTTCTAACGATTGCCTCGCTGTTATAGTAGTTGACGAGTTTCTCGCGGCTTTGGAAATTATACTCTTCAGAATGTCATTAATGCTTGTCGCTCGCTCGCTTAGCTTACTTGCTTGTTTGTTTGTTTGTTGCTTGTTTTTTCTAATTAGTTATACACGCCTACGTACGTTTGCATTGCGGATAAGAAAAAAAAGCTCGATCGCACGTAAGGATATTCGCTCGGTTCATTTTCCTTACATATGTGCTCCATATAATAACGTCTATGTACACACGTGTACATTGTATGCGGTTGACGCCGTATTATACGTAGACGCGTAGGCAGAGTCGCAATGTATGTGGTACCGTGCCGATTACGTGATCAAAGAACTTCATATCCTAGTTGAGGAGTGTATGTATAGCATGTGTAGCAGTATACCACGTATAAGGGTTGCTGCTCTGCGCTAAAGGAAGTAATCGTCGCGAGCTCGAATCGCGGCTTTCTCCTTTGATCTTATGTACGATAGACTTAGTAGTGTGTATGTATATATGCCTCGTATCAGTTGCTGCGCGCTGCTCGACGCACACAAAGTCACACACAGACAGACATATATAGACACATATTTACGGTCTACGGTCTCAGCTTCATTAGTTATAATTTACGAAACGACCGAAGCATATGTACGTATTCAAAACCTCGAATTTCTCCCTATATATATATCTCGTAAGATGCGCGCCCATCCCCGATGCAGGATGATATTAATGTGTACGAAGCTCTGTGGAGAGAGAGAGAGAGCTTTTAGGCTTTAAAGCTTTTTGTCTGTTACTTCGAGCTCTATTATCAAGCCGTGTGAAAAAAGTGTTCAACAATTTACGCATCTACTCTACAGTAAGAAAGCTGAACATTTATATAATGGCCCGATGACCGAAAAATAGAAATTCGAATTAATTTAGAACACGTAAACATTTATTGACTCGTTTTTGGGACTTTTTTTGTTATAATTATTTTAAAAATATTAAGCGCATTTTTTATAACTTGAAAATGACGATTATAAGAGTTTTAAAAAATTGAGATTATATTTCAACTACTTTTAGTACTATAATACCACTTTCAGCCATCGCCACTAGATGGCGAGTACCTCTATATCTGTAAATCTGCTAGTGGCAAAGTCAAAATAATTGTATAAATCAAAACACGATTTTGATCATTGTTGTTGTTTTTCTGTTGCCCATTTTTTTAAAAACAGAAGCTCAGCCGCGGGGAACACTGTTAATTCTACCGCATAACACGTAAGATATGTGCTCGTGTGTCCATTAGAGTAGTCGATCTACGCGTGGCCAGCTCGTACACAATACGCCACGAACTTACCGGAATATCATGGAAATAAGACTGATATTTTATAATCTCGTACCAGCGAGTCTCAGCTGCGATCGATGAAGGAATATACGTGTACGTGTACGGGTATGACACGTATATATAGGTACGTATAATAAAAAAAAAAGAGGAGCTCGGCACGATCTATATATATACACCGTGGAGCGCAAAATAGTGCACTCGGTGATGGGGGGAGGGGAGATCATCATCATCATTGCGAGTTGCCACGAAATTGGAAGCTTCCGCGCGCGCCGCCGCCGAGTCCTCATAAAAACGGGGATCGTATTATATGCCGATTGATCGGGGGGAGCCGAAGAAAGCGACTCGATAAAATTTCCACTTATAATTGAGCCTGCAGCAGCAGCAGCAGAGGGAAAGGAAGCCTTACTCAGCTCTATCCCTCTCTATATATATAATAAGCGTAAGAGATATATAAAGTCAGAAAAGCACGAGGCGCGCGCGCGGGGGTCAATATGGTATCGCACGAAAGATTCATTTGAAAAGCCCGGCGTTGGCTCGTATATACTATATATAGCTCTCTCAATGCGAGAAGTAGAGAATAAATAACAATAAGGCGCGAGCCTCGTATATATATAATAATAATAAGTGCCAGAGAGCTTGCGGGAAGTAATTAGTGCGGAGCCCGAGTTTGCGTCGCCCCCTCCCCCGCCTCACTTGCACCGGGGCGGGAAATTGATATTTTCTAGAGTGCACGAGTGAGAGAGTGAGAGCAATCGCTGCATACATATCTGCGCGCGTGTATACGAGTAACTCTATAAAAAAAAAATATATCCTTAAAATTCGAGGCTTGAGTGGCGAGGGAAGTTTTTGGTACTTGACGTGCGCGCGCGATGGACGTAGATGATTGTTTATTGAGGTTTTGGGAGAGGAGAGTAAGAGAAAAGTTTCGAGCGATTTTTGCCGTGTCAATCACGGAATAAGCTGTCGTAATTAAGGGAAAACGCGATTTTACGTACAATGTACGTGCATCAATGTGTCAACAGTTCACGAATTTTCCCGCGTTTTCATGACTTCAATATCACGCATAAAATTGAAAAATGAATGATACACTTACCTACACAGAACAAAGGGACACACGTGACCACGACTGCGTGTGGACCTATAGTTAACGGTAGACGGAATCACCTCGCTATTATCTGTACACGTGGGTTCTTACATGTGTTCACTCACTGAGTGTGAAATTGAGCTTCACGGCGAGCAAGTGTTAACAAATTATTTCCGTAAATATCATATAAGTTTTATAATTAACCGCATTCATCTATACTTGAGTATCCATTCAATAAGTAAGTCTCGCTATCTAAAATTTAGTTTTGGCTGTTCGAGGCATATAACCTCAAATATTTTCACAGTGTTCATTGTGAAAAATTACAGTGAATACATATATTCGAGGAAGTGATGGAAGGCAACAGTGACGTAGTTAGGTATAATATTTTTGTGCATCACACTGTCATGATTATTTTTTGATCGATTTCTTATAAAATTCGATTATTCTCAGGGTGAAGGAAGAGCCGAACGATACTTGGTCGGATGCAGGTAACGATTATAATTTCGATTCGGTGGTCGATTGCAAAGTCGAGAACTCCGAAACATTGCCCTTTCATGAATTGCCGGTGAGTTTAATGATTTGAATTATTTTCTGTTGATCGACTAGTCGAAACTAGCCTTTAATTTTTATTCTAGGCAAAAGATACGACCGAGGACATTGTGTTTAAAGAGAGGTTAGGTGAAAAAATACCGATCGATTTCGAGTGCAAAGATGTCAAACTTGAGATGCCGTCTCTATCGACAACCATTTGCAAATCCGAATATCAAAGTTGTCAATCTATTGTGAAAATAGAAAACGAAAATAAGAAAGATAACACGAATGAAAATATATTCGTTGACTTTGAGTGCAAATATGTCAAACACGAAGTGAAGTCTTTGTCAACAACAGCGTGCAAAACTGAGTACCAGAGTTGCCTACCTATTGTGAAAATAGAAAATCACATTTCGACCGATTACACGAATGAATGTAATGTACGAAATCATAGAAAGTTCGACGAGAGTACGGTTTGTCACAAATCATCTTTTGTATCTCAGAAACATCTCAGAAGGCCAACAAAGACGGTACATGATCATAGCAAACCCTTCGAATGTGATATTTGTCACAAATCGTTTGGACAAAAAATACATCTTCAAACTCACACAAGTACAGTACATGATCGTATCAAACCCTTCGAATGTGAGGTTTGTCACAAATCATTTGGAATAAAAAGTAACCTCAATAATCATATAAATGCAGTACATAATAGTAGCAAACCATTTGAATGTGAGATTTGTCACAAATCATTTGGAGAAAAGGGTACTCTGAATCATCACATAAATGCAGTACATAATCAGATCAAACCCTTTGAATGTGAGATTTGTCACAATTCATTTGGTTACAAGGGTGATCTCAAGAAACACATCAATGGTGTACATGATAAGATTAAACCCTTCAAATGTGAGATATGTCACAAATCGTTTGGACTTGAAAGTAATCTCAAAATTCATTCTAATGTAGTACATGATCGTATTAAACCCTTCGAATGTAAGGTTTGTTGCAAATCATTTGGACTAAAAGGTGACCTCAAACGTCACGTCAATGGAGTACATGATCGGAGTAAACCCTTTGAATGCGAGTTTTGTCACAAGTCATTTAGCCGCAAGGATCGCCTTAAATCTCACATAAATTTAATTCATGATCGTAGAAAATAATTCGAATTTGTTATTTGTCCTCAATCTTTTGAATACCAAAACTTCCTCAAACGCCACATGAACGCAGTACGTGATCGTGGCAAAAATACCTTAAAAACTCACATAGATACATTTCACGATTATATCAAATATTTCATCAACTGATATTTACTCCACGACGCGTGAACAAAAAATAATCCTATCTACATGAGGATCTTGTTGGATACAAATTTTTGTCATAAATTTTCTTCGACTTTGTGAAAAAACTATTTCATTTTCATTAAAAATATTTAAATTACGTCATCCTGTTATCAATTTGGTCATTTGTAAAAAGCTTTCTTTTATTCTTTGTACACCAAACAAATATATTGAATAAAACTTCTTGAACGTAATTTTTTTTTCACACCTTTCAGATTATTCAAAATTCTTTGAGTGGTATTATTTGGAAGGCTTTCATCACTTTTTTATTATATTTCCGAAAATTTGGAACTTGTCAAGTAAAAAGTAATTCGAACAGCGCGTTAATAGCTTAACATGTATCAAAAATTATTTTATTCAAATGTAATTGTTCGAACTCCGGTGGATGTCTCAACTCTCAAAGTCGATCAAAGCAAATTTAACCAGACCTCAAAGACAACAGAACAATCAACGTCCATCGCACGCGCCAAACGACTAAAAAACGAAAAAACAATCGTTAATTCTACCTCTAACTCCAAGTATTTTTTTTTCAATAGAATTGCTCATATACGCGGCGCAATGCCGTTGTACCATATACACGCATCGTCGGTACAGTATACAACATGCTCACGCGGCGGCTATTATTATTAGCGATAAGGCCTCAAGAATTGATGTGTGTGCATGTGCGCGCACACGCGTATACACATAATCCTTCGAACGGGTGTAGGGGGCCGGGGTGGTGGTGAATTAGAGTCGAGCCGTGCGCGCCTAGAAGTAATGGAGTCGCGTGCCACACACGTCCTCCTCCTCCTCCTCCTAGTCTGCCTCCTGCAGCAGCAGCAAAGCAGAAACAGCCGCACTACTCTGCTGAACATATGTAGCGCACACACACACACACGCGCGTAGGATATTCTAATGTAGCCGCACAAGGATCAAGCCTACATTGTATATAGCTGCAGCTGCAGCAGCCTATATATATGCGGTCGCGTTGCAGCTGGATCTGCAGCTGTGCAACGCCATGAGGTGAAGCTACATATATATACGCAGGGAAAAGTATCACCCTCCCCAGCAGATACATTCGCATTCGTGGCAAATAGTAATCCGTGCAGCAGCGGACCCCCGAAATCCTAGCCCCCAACGCGACAAAAAAGCACAAAAAATAAAAAAAAAAAAGAAAAAGCCCGGAATCGAGTGCCTTCTTCGCTCGATCCTTTTCTCTCTCTTTTCCGTGGCATAATAGCGCACGTAGTAGTAGAAGCAGCAGTAGCATGTGGCTTTAAATTGGAAAGAATGCAACGCAACGCGCGCGCGCGAGGTTGTTGAATTTATGGGCTCTAATTTCCTCGGAGGGGGAGAGGGAGGCTCTGATCGAATACTGCTGCTACTATATGCTATAAGCTGCCGAGCTGTTGCTGCTGCTGCAGCTTTAGTGAATGCTACTTTTTTAATTTGCGCACGACTCGGCTGTGTATATATACACACACAGACACACACGTGTATGTATGGGCTTTGCAGCAGCTCTGCTTTGAAAGAGAGAGAGAGAGAGCCTCTTGTATAGGCTTGAAGCACTTGCATATATAGCATACATATACCTGCATGCATATATATACAGACGCGCGGGGGCCGTTAGAGAGAGAGAGAAGAGTATGTATAGTATACTATGAGCGCGGCGGCGCTAACACATCGCGGAAGCCATAATTCAACGAGCCCGAACAGGCCATTAGGCGGAGGCGGCTGTTTTTATACGAGCTAGCTAGCTAGCTAGCTGCTCTCTAGCTGCTTACTGCTGCTGCACGCGCCTGCATGGTAGGCGTCTAATGCCCGGCTAATTAATACACCGCATCGAAGTGCCGAATATAATAGAACAGCCGAGAGAGAGAGAGAGAGAAAAGAAAAAAACGACGCCGTTCTATCGCGTTAGAAACTGGACAGGAGGAGGAGAGCTAAAAATTAGCCAATCGACTCGACTGCTACATACGCGTAAAACTTTGTGTACTATTTTTTTTACTACATTAAAGTAAAATTTTTTTTTCGATGCAACGAACACCCTATATTCTCGTTTCATGCGGCACGTGTAAAGCTAAAGGGCTCGGGAGTCGGAAAAGGTGAAAATAAAGAGAGAGAGAGAACGAGCTTTAAATAATACGATGAATCAGACGTGAAAGGTGAGTTATTGAAAAAAACAACGTCGAGCATGAAAAAAATTCGCCGGGGATAAATAAATCCAGGCCAAACAATATATAATCAAAAAAATTCGATCGATTTCCAGCGAAAAAAATTGCTCCAGAAGAATCTTGGCGCGAGCGAATCGCATACCCACCCGCGCGTCATATTCGTCCGATACGCGCGCCTTACATAATTCACACGCATAATAAATAAATCAAAGAATCGCTGCCAGCGATCGTTTCGCGAAATAATAAGTGTGTCGCGCGACGCGTCTACACCGTAGTAGTTATATAAATCCGCGCGGGCAATATAATCGCGCGTGTAAATCAAAATAACTCGGCGCGCGCGTTATCGACGAGCCTCGATTGTCGTCGAGTGTACAACGTACAAAAATTAATCTGCGCTCATTGACTGCTGCGATCTTCTTCGGTCACAAGAGTATACACGTACGTTATGTATACACGCGTCTCGTTATCCGCGACTCCATCTACAAATGACGATAATTGCATAACGACTACAGAGAGAGAGAGAGAGAGAGAGAGACACGGAGAAAGAGAGAGAGATATAGAAGTTGGTGCGGAGTATAAGAGTAAGAGAGGGAGGCGGCTGATAGAGTTATCTTCGGCGCAATGGAATTCGATCGCGAGGAGCTAGCTAGAGAGGCCGGGGAGTATATATACAGAGTCGGAGGAACTGTGCAGTCGCTGCTGCTGCGTCGAGTTCCAAATTTGATTTCGCGTAATGCCCTCGAAAAAGCCAGAGAGAGAGAGAGAGAGATATCCCCCGCAGGGATGTGTATATATACGTACGATATACTATCTATATCGGAGGTAAGTTGGCGTCGGCGGCGGTGGCGGCGGCGTCGGGGCTGAAATTCGAGAAAATAGATCCACACCAGCGTGTCGGCGGCGGCGGTACACTGAGACTACTCGGCGCGCGAATCAATATTTTTGACATAGAGGGAAAAACAAGTTATATTCGATGCTGCTGCTTCGTCGCTTTTTCACGATCTTTCGCTATCTGCGGATTACCGGTCGAAATATAATAGACTCTGGTATACGGCAATTTTTTGTTGTTGCGTAAGAGTTCGGTGCTGCGCGTCGATTATATATACTATCACTCGACGAGAGAGATCCCGAACCGAAGGCAAGTTGCTTAGAAATTAGCGCGCACGAGCAGACGGTTTGAAGAAGAACGAGTCTTTATAGATAAGACTGCTGCTGCTCTGCGAGCGTAAGCGAAGCGTGGCGTTGGCGGCATTCAGATGTACCCGCGCGTTTAGTTGCATGTATACATACAACTTCGCCGAGTGAGAAAATTTGCATAAATTTTCTCCGCTTTAACTTGAAAAATAAACTGCGCGCGCGGGCTTGCGACCGCAGAAGCTGCTGGGAAAGCTGGTAAAGGCAAAAGCACGCGGAGAGAGAGAGAGAGAGAGAGATAGTGAAATGCCACTGCTGCTGTGTTAGGTAAATTGTAAAATCAGCGGAATAGACTCGGCTGTGCTTGCGCACGGATGGGGGCTGCCGAGGCTATTGTTCTGGCGCACACGTAGCAGTAGTAGGCATGCCGTCGCGCTTTTGCAGCCTCTAGAGCACAGGAAAACGACGACGACGACGACGTAGAGCCGCCACGCTCACAAGGTCCTATATATATATAGCCTCCCAACACCGTTACTAACTGGATAAACTTGATATACGAGGCAGCATAGGCAAGCGCGCTTATAGTACCCGGCGTTGGTATATACTATACGTATATATGTAGTCGATCGGAAGGCTATACGCTGTGGAGCTTCATGGGTGCAGGACGAGTTTTCGGGGAAGAGAGAGAAGGGGATAATGAGCGAGCAGCGGCGGTAGAGTAAAGCGACGATGATCGATATCGATCATGCACGGAAACACGTATATAACGATGCGCCGCGGCGCTGGAAAATGAGATAAGTTGGGTATAGGTAGCCCAGAGAGCCCGACGCACATAAATATTATTATATACTCGGTGCGTGATCGCGAGGAATCCAAACCTCGAGTTTTGCGCGCGCGCGCGGATCGGTCCGCACGTTCTCTCTATGCTAAATTCGAGCCTATCACATAGACACACAAGCGCGAGTGAGTAATAGCCTCTAGCGATCGCGATATCGATGCAAAGAGAAATGATGTACGGCCGCAATGTGTCCGGCCGCGTGCCCAGACTTGCGGCTAATTCAGACCGGCCCGATACATCGGTATTGTAATACTCACGCGCGCGAATATCGAAGCGTTGTACAACTACGCGATCTCGCGGAGCTATATAGCAGCGTTGATACGTCAACGTTGTGTACTAGTGACTGCGGCAAAACTAATGTGTGCAATAGCAAGAGCGCAGCAGCCAACTCGACGCACTGCGCGCACTCCCATCTATATACGTTGAGATAGCTGCGGTGCTGCTTTATGTAACGGCGTGCCGATCGCGACTCTGCTTTGCACGCGGCGTTTCGCGATCTCGTGCAGGTCGTGATTCAAGTTATATAGGAGAGGGGAGTGCGGCCGGTCACACACCGCACACCGCAGACAGAAAACCGGCAGCACAGGTGATCTCGGACTTGTACTTACCTTTCCACCACCACTGCTTGCTGCTATACTCGCGACTGATGGATCGGTTTACGCGCACTCACACATTCGTTCGCGTACACGAGAATACTCGTTTCGAGTATAAGCCGCGCAGACGTCGCGCGACTGCTCGCTCGCAGCCGCGTATCAGTTTGCATCGAGAGCTGACTCGGTACGGAGCAATAACAACACTCGCTCTCGCTTACGTTTGAAAGTCTCACACTGTGTGCTGCAGTGTCGTGAGTGTGTCTCTCTCGCATCGGACCCGCAGCTCACGCAGCAACTCATGATATAGTGTTCGTAATCGTTTCGTTTCGTGATTTTTTTCCACACTGACACTGCCTCGATTACGATCCCAACTTGTTGTTCGTTCGATACCCAGTTTTGTGCGTGCTCTGTATGTGAGTGTGTGACACAAGAAAGTGTAATAATCGACGAGTAGTGCGTGCCGTGTGGTCGATCTGCGTGGCCCTGGCATTCTGTCACGAATCGAGGTAAACTATACACACGATCGCCAACTTTATCAACGTGAGTAATCGACCCCGAGATGTTCGTTCGCGAGACGTTCGCGCGACAAAGATCGGCTCGATCGTTCGTACCTTGTTTTTTTTTCTGCTCCGCTAAGCAGCTGCCGCAGCAGCAGCGAGTCAGTCAGCTGTGTAGCAAGTAGTATTAGGTGTTTCCGATCGCAGCTCGCTATATAGATATATAGAGAACGTGACAGCTCACTGTGTATACTACGCGCTGCAACTTTGGAGCTATTATACGTATAGGCACAATTGCCCTCTTTTCTTCGGCGGAAAATGTATAAAAGTCAGTCGAGCCTGTCGAAGGGTATCTATGCGGCCAACAGGTGTATTATATATTATCCAAGAACTAATTGATACTTGCAGCAGCAGAAGCAGAGGCTGTATCGTAATAATATAATGTATATAAGGTAGCCTATAGGTATTTCGCGACAAAGTATAAAACTTGCTGATAAAGCATCGATATCTCTCTCTCTTGCTGCTGCTGCTTCTCTCTCTCTCGAACGAGATTAAAACTATTTTCCCCGAGACGAGAGAGAGAGAGAGCGGCAATTTTTACCTTGTTTTATATGCTGCCGCTGCTATAGGCGCCCTGCTGCAACGCCGCGCCGCGCGAACTTTCGGAAATTTTGAATTATTCCGCTATGAACTAATTTATTCGTAAACTTTCGGACGCGCGCGCGAGAGAGAAAAGTATGAAATGAAAAGATAATGAGAAGAAGAAAGGTATAAGAGCCTCGGATAGCTGCGGAGCCCGCGCGCCTTGGATTTTTTTCTTCTTCTTTTACATTTAAACGGACTCGCGGAGATATTGTGAACGTCGAAGTGCGCAGCAGAAGCAGGACAATGATAGCTTGATTTTATATAGCAAAAAAAGAAATAAGACAAGTGATAAATTAGGCCAGAAGACGGCGAAGACGAGTGGCTTCTGTGAAAAATAATTGAAAGACAATATATAATATACGATTGTTACCTAAGAAGCGGTACAGTTACGAAATTTTTGTAAGATTTTTATAACATTATCATAGATACGTGAGAGATATGTGTAAGTATACCACCCGAGTAATGCCACGCGAGTCATCGCGTCGCGTTTTAGATAATCATATCTGGAACGTTGTATCGAGAGACAATAATAAATCAATTAATACCATAAAAATCCGATATGCTAAAAACGAGAAACGTGATTCGGAAGTTTCTGACTTGGCGCGACTCGTTCGGACGAGCTTACACATACATTGTAAAATGTAGCGCAATAAAAATACGCGCACATATATATGCACACAAAGCCCAAAGAATGTGGGTAATTGCTTCTCTCTCTCTCTCTCTCTCTGGTATATAGGAGAGGAAGTTTCATTGAATGACTTTGAAGAATGCGGGATACATTTTTCGCCAGCCAATGTTGCATTACCGTGTACAAGCCATTACATCGAAAAAAAGAAGAACATCTTGCACTTTCGGCCCTACTACTACCAGTAAAACACGAATTTATTCGTGCCCGCTCTACACAATATATATAATATGCTGTTTTTTTATTCGCGCGTGCACACGTGCAAAGAGGTATTATCCGCTTAATTGCCCATAAACACTTCTCCGCGTGTGTGTGATTTAATGTGCGTACGGCGGCACGGAATGGGCATTGCGTAATGCAGCCGATGATTTCCTCGATATACTCGTGTGTACACATGAATTCCGTAATAATATACAAAAGATTCTCTCGAGGCTGCACCGCCAATGATGATGATGATGATGGTGATTAGTTTGATAGGCTAATATTTTTAACTCGCCGCGACGACGACGACGATGATGATGATTTTCTCGGGAATCCAGAGAGGAATAATTTGGAATAGGACAATTATGTAAAACACTCGTCTTTCAACTGCGCTTCGAGTGTTTATCTTCTTATTTTCTGTCGAGATTATGTATTTACGTATCGTCTCGAGCTTGTAGCTTATAATTGTAGTTTCTTGTTTTACAGCTGCCGTATACGTCTCGCTTTTGTACAAACCAGGCCTATTCACTTCCAGGATGCATCGCGCGCGCGATAAGATATATATCGTTAACGCACTCGAAGCTTCGTTTATTTTTTTTTTCATTATTATTTCGTCGAGCGGCGGTGAGCTGAGCTACACAATCTGTTTCGATGACACTCGAGCACAAAAGCCACTCATTATAGATTTTCCATTTTTATTATTTTTTTTTTTACGCAATACACACGACGTCGGAAAAATTCAAATTGAAAGGCGCGCGAGCAATTATATGTATCAAGAACATGACTTGCTGCAGCCGCGAGACGGCGCGTAACATATATATCTATCACGTACGGAGATAATAATACGATTTAATTGCGCCTGGGCCTCGGTAATTAAGATTACATCGAGACGCACGAGAGACTGTTTATTTTTCGATTCTCTCTCTTTTTGGGGGTATTCATTGATAAAATTCGAGCGCTCATCTCATACGTTATTCTATTAGTTATACTTCTTCTCTCTTTTTTTTTTATTACAGAGACACTCGAGCGTGGAAGTGTAGTCGTAGTGGCAGACGTGCAATAAAAATAGTCCATATACTCTTTACCGAATTGCTTCGAGCAAAGTAATAGGATCGCCTTTAAAAGCTGTATACAGGTAGCTCTACTTTTTTTTTTTTTAAGACAGGTAGTAACGCGCGATTATGAGCTTAGTTATATAAAAGACATCGATAATACGAAAAAAAAATGATAAAACTTGTTTTTTTGGACACGATTGCTCGTAATTTTGTAACAAACAGTCGTTACCCGAAAAATCTACTTTACACTTAATATAAATCAATCATCATCTCTCCCGATGCCCGATATATTTTTTTTTACCCCGCTCAATCGCAACTCTAACGTCGAATTTATTGCTTACTGCTTTCAGATAGTCGTCGGCGGATAGAGGTGGATTCCGCGCGCAAGGATAAAACTGCTACTACTGCTGCTGCTGCGCTCCGGAAAAGGAGCCATAAGTCGAGAACAATTGGATCGTCCGAGTATCCGCCTTTCTCTCTCTATATATAGAAAGGAGAGGAGGTTGATACCTACCCTCGAGTGTTCGACACAACTGCCCACGATCGGCTGTGCTGCCCACCGCTGATGGGTTTTCTGCCTTAATTTTTTGTACATCAAGAAGTATAGAAGAGGAGAAAAGTGGAGCAGCGCGAGTGTGTGATTTTTTTTCCGCTTCGTAATTAGGGAGTCTCCTCGTCGTCACAATGGGCTCAATGGGAATTGCAGACACTATAAATAAGTCTTTTCAAGTAAGGATTCACGCCGCTTTTTGATATTCAATTAATTATTATACATATATGCTTTTATAGAGTGTGAACGAGTTCTTAAGTTTTTGTATTTTTTGAATTCGTCTACTCGATTGATTTATCGTTATTATTATTTTATTTTAATTACACTTTTGTCACCGCGTGATGAGCTTCTTTTCACCATCGCACAGTGCGGTATTATCCATGTTCGACACACGAGATACTTACATATTAACGAGCGCGAATTAGTTAAAATGGAAAAGGAGGAGCGTAACGACCTCCTCCTCCCCATCAATTCGCATCTTCCGCGTCTCCCCCGACGCGTGTGCTTTTCATTTCGGCTTTTCTCTACTCCGCACAGCCGACTAAATTTATTATAACGCGATTCGTCACTCCGCAAAAGCTAGTATACACGCGCATTTTCGTCTATACATAAGACGACGCATCACGACGCGGCTTTAATTGAAACTCGCGCAAGCGCGGAATTGGTCGATGCCCGATTATCATTGTCTCTAGGCGAGCTTTTCCATACACGCGGAACATTATTGCCGCGTTTTAATTTACACAAAAGGCCGCAAAAGCTGCTTAGATATTTAAGCGCGCTACTCCTGTTTTCTGTGATTTATTTTTTTTTTCGTTTCCAAAAAAAAAATAAAGACGAAGCTATTTCGCGAGCGCGCGACGGAAGGCGCAGCCGAGCAGCAGCCCCGAGGCTTTCGAAACGTGTATACCACTGCTACCTCTTTTGTACGACGAAAAATAGTTTTCGGGCAAAACATTTTTAAACGTCCGACACACACGGGTTACTATACTCGGTGCGGCCTGTATATATGTACGTATACGTTCAGACCTTTTTTTACTTTTTTTTTATTATTATTTCGTCGTTTGAACTACACGGTCGTGTCCTAAACCTATACACAGCAGCACTAGCAGTGGTAGTGCACGAACGGAATCGTGGACTGCAAAAAGGTTTCTCCCCTCTGAATTAAGACCGGGCGTAAAAGTCGTCGAGCCGACGCTCGTTTTTTTTTTCTTTCATTTTCGTTTTATTTTATTTTTCCGCCTCTTCAATCTTCCCACACCTGAGCCCTCTCTGCTGGCAGAGAGATCCGTGTGCAGATCTGAAACGTATATACACACACAGAGGTGAGAACTAATTGCCTCTACTGCCGCCCGAACGTTCATAAAAGTTGAAAAATACTTGGGTAATAAAGATTCTCTCGCGAGAGGCGCATTAAAAATTTTTCAATACACTCGGCTGCTCGGCTCGCGAGAGAGCTTCTAAGCTAACAGTTATAGTTAGTTGCGAGCCTCGTCGTGCCGCACATAAATTTTTACTTCCTGCGCGCGGTCGGGCCGGCGGGGCTTACGTTACTGCGCCGCGCGCTTCGTGTAGTAGCGCCTCTCGGCGACCAGAGAGCTGCTGCTCCGCTGCAAGCTCGAAGCTTTTAAAAAGCATTTCGTTTTCTCTCTCTCGCTGCACTGCTGAGGGGCGGGTGCGGGGGAGGACGAAGCTGCAGCACATTCGGTCGAGTGCCTGCGGGCTGCTGCTGCTGCTGCTGCAGTTTGTGTCGTTAAGAAAAACGGGGTATTATATATAAAACGTGTGGCTCGCTCACTCTCGCGCGCGCCCGCGCCAAGTTCCCTATCATTGCGCCCGATGCGACTCGAGACTATTTTTTTTACTTTATACTTTTTATTTGCCGCGTGTGAGTGTGAGTGTAAGTGTGTGTGTGTCCGCAGTATAGTGACAGGTTAATGACCTACTTTCCGCACACACGTGATCGTTTAAGATTGTGTGTAGGAGCTCTCTTGCGCACGAGTCGTCCTCGAGTTTTCTTGTTTTCTTGTTCCACGTCGTCGTTCGTTCGTTCGTTCGTTCTCCCTCGTATATAAGAACATCACAGTGATTTCCGCGCAACAAAAAACTTCTTCTCCACTCTCTCTCGTACATATATACGTCGTATCCATATAATTTCCTTCGTCATTTGGCATCGAGGTCGTTGGACGACGACGACGACGACTCGCGTCGTTCAGCGACTCTCAAATCCGTTTCTCATCTCTCGTAATAATAATTGTAGTTATATGTGTAGTATAGTGTAGTAAAGAGAGGAAAGAGTAAAAATAAACGTACGAAGTGGGCGCTAGAGCTCTGTCAATGCCTTGGATCGATAACTTTGCACTCTCTCTCGCGGCGATTCGCGTATCATATACCTGGGCGCATTGTCTAAATATATATGCGCATACGAGTCACTTGTCTCTCTCTCTCTCTCTCTCTCTTTCTCTCTCTTTGATGTCGGACGTCGACGTCGTGGTGGGCGTAATGACGTTCACTCTCTCTCATACTCTGCATGCATGCATGCCAGGCTTTGGCCGAAAGATTGTGTGTCGCCTGGTGCTTTTCCTCCACCCACCCCGAAAACTCGCCTCGTACTTTTATATACGTATTAGATTCCACATTCTGCCGTTGGAAGCCTCTCACCAGTTTCTTGCCTCAAAGGCTAGCATCTTCAACTTTCTTGCCCGCGCGCGGAGGAAGGTCAAACACACTCGTCTTGAGGATTTTTTTTCTCTTCTCGAGCTATTTAAAAAAAAAAAAAAAAAGTGGGGTGAGGGGCAGCTTGTTATATAAAAGAAATCGACTCGTTTTCCTCGACCCTCTCTCTTGCAGCTTGCCTCGTAGCTTTTACGTAAACGCAAACGCACGCGTATATAATAACGGCAGTGAAACTTGGCATTGAGCGAAGGACTGATTAATGGAATTTTCTATACACGCATTACGTTATTACGTAGTTTCGGAGGGTGGGTGGGACAGAAGAAAGCTGTCCCCGAGCTTTTCAGCTCGCAAGCTCTCTCGTTCGTCGTCGAGTTAAAAAGTCTAAGCGATCGACAAAGGTCTCTTTTCAAGTTCTCTCTCCTTTTTGTCTGCCCTGTACCATATCGCACTACTGCGTGTACTATGCTCGCGCGAGCTTGCGAGTACTACTCGAGCGAGGCGGTATATAGGGCTAGGAAACTTAACATCTCTTGCACTTTACATCTCTCTCTCTCTTTCTCTGCAGTGGAGCGGCGCATGTATATTGAATATAGTGATATCGCGTGCTGCGGAGAGTACCAGAGAGTATATACGTACGTACGTCCCTATGTATGTATCGGTGAAAGAGAGTTGCAAGTTCCATATATACGCGATTCGGCGCGAGGGTTTCCCAGCTTTCTCGCTCGCCTAAAGCCTCTCGGCAGCTTACTTACAATAGCTTTGCGCTCTCTCTCTCTCTGCGCACTTTCTCTCTGTCCTGTATAGCTTCCCGTGTTAAAAACTTTTCGGTCAAAGTATAAGAAGCGTCGTGTGTACGTGTGTGTGTGTGTGTGTGTGTGGGTCGAGGAAAAATTCCCCGCGCATCGATGTATATATGAAAAATCGAGCAGATACAAAGTATTCGCGCGCGCAACGGCTATGTGTTATATAGAAAGGAGAACGAAAAGTAGAAGTATGGAAGGAGGAGGAGGAGGGCAAGATCAATCAGAGACTCTGTGTGTGCTGCGCGCAAGGGGGAGAGGGCTCGATCCAAAAAAGATGGGCACACATATTGCCCGACTATCGATTATACAATTCCCAAAGATATGCGGCACAGATACCGGTTTTCCGTGTGTGTGGCACACAAGCCGAGGCGCAAGGCAAACAGGCGAGCTGCGCGATCGAGTTCGAGCTATCCTATATATATAATATGTGCTTGCGATGCACTCGATGGAAGAAAAATTAAGTTTTCGTTCGATGGATATATCGTGTGTAGGTGCAGTATCGATATGTGTGGCCGCGTGTGGCGAAGAGAGAGAGAGAGAGAGGCAACGCCTTATTTTACGATTTCGGTACCATTGCCTTGTGTGCCGCTGCCGCCGCTGCTGCTGCTGCATCGAGAGCTCGAGTCATCCACAGACGAGTTAAACATTCATATATAGTCGTAGTGGTGGTGGTGGTAGTAGTAGTCGTCGAGCTATTCTGCTTTCTGGCTCGAGGCAGCTCGCACGAGGCTTGCCTTCAACTACTACTACTACCACTGCTACACAGTCATGGGGTCGTCGTGCAGCAGGAGGGGTAAGCAGCAGCAGCAGCAGGTCTTGGCTTCTACCTTTCTCAGCCGCCTCTCGCTTGCTCGCTCACTCTTTTGCTCTTTACTTCTCTCTCTCCCCCGCCGACGTTGTATATACCGTACCGTGTGTGCAGGTGCTGCAGCAGCAGCGCACACGTTGGCTCGTGTGCAGCTTGGTGCTTGCGGCTCGGCGGACGGATCGATCGATCCCCCGCGCGCACAGAGTCTCGCAGTTCTCTCTGCAAGGCGCAAAATCCGACGATAGTAGTGTGGCTTTGTTGCTGTGGCTGCCATGCTACTGTACTGTACCTAGCTACCTACCTACCTGGCTTTTGGCTGCATTATACAGAGGCTTGTTCGACTTGGTGTACGCATATTTACACGTACACGCGCGCGGACTGCGATTTTCCTCGGAAGAAGACGACCGAGTTCCTTTCTTTTAATCGATCGAATGGCTCTCCTCTTCCTCCCCCGTGCGTTATGGTATACCTTCCGTTGCCGCCGCCGACTTCTTTGCTTCTTCTTCTTCTTCTACTTCTACTTCTTCTTTCGCGTATATATACTCGCGCGCTTCCGGCGATGAGTTATGCTTCCTCATCGTAATTTATATCGAGATCTTTTACACACACAAAAAAAAAGAGTCGCGAGATTCTCTCTCCCGTATATATAGCGGCTCCTGTATAAACCCCCCGCAGCGGCGGCGGCGGCGGCGGCAGGAGCCACCAACGTGACAGAGAAAACACCGATAAATCGCCCCCGAGTACACCACCGCGAGTAATAGTTCCCGCGCGCGCGCGGCCGATCAACAACAACAACGGCAGCGGCGTTGGTGGCTGCTGCACACAAAAGTACATCGGAAAGAATTTTTCGCGCTCCGCGAGACGACGACGACGACACGACGACAATTACACGACT